TGTAGGCCATATCACTTTCCACCCTGCCAAGGGTACCTGCACAGCAAGGTCAGAGTCGCTAACGTGTAACGTAGTCGGTTACCCCGGAGGTGCTATTCTCCCCGTCTTCGATGCCATTTACCAGTCAAAACACTTCGACTTTATCCTGCCACGACATGAACAGGGCGCTGGCCACATGGCCGAGGGGTATGCCCGTGCTAGTGGGAAGCCTGGCGTTGTGCTCGTTACCTCGGGACCCGGCGCCACTAATGTGGTCACACCCATGCAAGATGCTTTGATGGACGGAACCCCGCTGGTCGTCTTTTGCGGACAGGTCGTCACCAGCGCCATTGGTTCGGATGCTTTTCAGGAAGCCGACATGGTCGGCATCACACGACCCTGCACAAAGTGGAATGTGCTCGTCAAGAACATTGCCGAACTCCCACGAAGAATCAACGAGGCTTTCGAGATTGCGACAAGCGGCCGCCCCGGACCTGTGCTCGTTGATCTGCCCAAAGACGTCACCGCCAGCATCCTCTCAAGACCCATTCCCATGAGCAGCTCCCTGCCCACAGCCGTCAGCGCAGCCACGCTCGCGGCGAGAGAATCGAGTAAACAGCAGCTCGACCTTTCGATCAGGAGGGCCGCTAACCTGATCAACATGGCGAAGAAGCCCGTCATCTACGCTGGGCAAGGCATTCTTCAGACCGAGAACGGGCCTGAACTCCTCAAGGAGCTCTCGGAAAAGGCCAACATTCCCGTGACGACGACCCTGCAAGGATTGGGAGCTTTCGATGAGCTTGACTCCAAGTCTCTGCACATGCTGGGCATGCACGGCTCTGCGTATGCCAACATGTCCATGCAGGAGGCAGATCTCATTCTTGCCCTCGGCGCTCGTTTCGATGATCGTATCACCGGATCCATTGCCAAGTTTGCGCCTGCTGCGAAGGCGGCTGCAGCTGAAGGCCGTGGAGGAATTGTTCACTTTGAGATTATGCCCAAGAACATCAACAAGGTTGTGCAAGCAACTGAGGCAGTCGAGGGCGATGTGGGCAGCAATCTCGCGCGCCTGATGCCCCTCGTGAACATTGTCAAGGAGAGACCAGAGTGGTTTGCCCAGATTGACGACTGGAAGAAGCGATTTCCATGGGCCTACGAGAAGGAGGGCGAGAACGGCTTCATCAAGCCCCAGACTGTCATGGAGAAGCTTTCAGATATGACCGCAGACCACAAAGAGAAGACCATCCTCACAACGGGTGTTGGACAACATCAAATGTGGTGCGCACAGCACTACCGATGGAGGTACCCACGCACCATGATCACCTCGGGTGGTCTCGGTACGATGGGTTACGGGCTGCCCGCTGCCATTGGTGCCAAGGTCGCTCGTCCCGAGTGCACCGTCATCGATATCGACGGTGACTCCTCCTTCAGCATGACCCTTACCGAGCTCTCGACCGCTGCCGAGTTCAACATTGGCGTCAAGGTCATCATCCTGAACAACGAAGAACAGGGCATGGTCACCCAATGGCAAACCCTCTTCTACACCGACCGCTTCTCGCACACACATCAGCGCAACGCCGATTTCGTCAAGCTCGGTGACGCCATGGGCGTCCAAGCAAAACGCTGCATCAAGCCCGAGGAGCTGGAGGCATCTCTGCAGTGGCTCTTGGACTCGGAGGGCCCAGCCCTACTGGAGATTGTGACGGATCAAAAGGTCCCTGTGCTGCCCATGGTGCCAGCTGGAAGTGGTCTGCACGAATTCATGGTTTACGATGAGAGTAAGTCTTCTTCCAAACTTAGATCCTTTTTCCTTGAGAATACCAATCACTAACCGCCTCAACAGAGACACAAAAAGAGCGCAGAGCCAACACGAAAAAGCGATCTGGTCGTTGAAACACACGACACACGACTCTCTTTTTCTTCTAACCATTTTGCATTGAGATCATGCTCTTCATTTCACCTGTACATTTTGCGGGTCCCGCACTGCTGGCGTTTTTCTTCTATTTCCTTTCCAACGCTTGACCACGAACTTTTCTCATCATGGCGGTTGCGCGCGCTTTTCTTTATCCCAAGTTTTGACCGTTTTTTTCTTTTCTTGAAAAAGCGCAGCCTGTGGCATAGCTATCTACTATCAAAAGCAAGATTATCGGGTTTAACTGTGAGAGTGTGAGATGAAACGAGACGATGGGGAAGGGGGAAGGAAGTAGCTGGGAGTAGCAGAGGGGATATTGGATGGGGAAAATTGATGCTTTTTATGGGTGGGGTTCCGACGTTTTGGGTTTGCTTTGTGAGATGGATGTGCATGTGCGTATGCTTGTGTGAAATGTCCGTCTCGTGCAAGTGGTATTTTTGGCATCTTCAAGATGAGATCTAACCCGGTGGCAGGAACTAACACACTGGCCTATCTCTTCTTTTCCACTGTAAATCCTTCTCAATATTTCCCAGGTTTATGTTCCCTTCTGTACAGCTCCTCCCCTCCCCTCCCCCATCAACGCCACAGCCCTTACTCCAAAATTTCAAAATCCGCACAAACATGTGATTGCCTCCTGTCGTTCATCTTGTTTTTGTCTCTTTCGCACACCGACGGCATGTTATTTGTGTGTGTTTGGTTACGACGAAAAAAAAGGGCTCATGACGCGGTGTTGATGTGTCTTTTGGGGGGTTGGGGAGGGAGAAGGGGGGCGTGAATTGGGGATAGGTTCGTGGAGGATGGAGAGGGAGATATATGTGTATGTGTGCATGTTTGTGGGTACTATGTGGATGGGTCTTAGCCTAGTGATGATTTGGTAAGAAATAGAAAGGAAGGGGGGCTTCAATCTTCACAAAACCCATGGCCCTGGCTGATTTATAAGATCAACGTCTTGAAGTACGTCTTTGCAACAACATACCAAACCCCCAATCCATGAGATTTATGCAAGTGACATGGGTAGCGTGTATATAAACCCTCCGCCTTACTTTTATGCACTTCTTCCCTATCCCGCCTCACCATGGATATTATCCTGAAACTGCAAGAGTGGCTAGAAATCCTGTATGAGGAGGGCGTGGTGGGAAGATTGAACAAGCCAATTTATGTCGAGGTGCGTGGTTTCATGCTCGCTCTGGTATCTCAAAGAAAGCTAATACCGCTAAATGGGCAAGGATATTCGAAAAGCAATGGTTATTTGAAGAGATGAGGCTGGGGAGATACGTTCAGGGTCATGGCTTTGCAAGCATGACATCTGGACGTTGAAAAAGAACCAGTGAACATCATGTGCAATGACATACCCATCTCGCAAGTCATTCACCAACAAACTCATGTGACATCGCTTGTGACTTTTTCCCACCCAAAAAAACTGAAAATGGAGAAGATGGAATGGGCTCGTCCCAAACCTCACCTTCTCGCAAGCCTATAGTGCCATATAAATAGTCCCTCCCACACATATATTCCCTGCTGTCTCCCCACAAAACTCCAAGTGCAGCATCTACATCACAATGTACCCAAAAAACACATGCCTTGGGGATACTATTTTCGGTCGTGTAAGTATCCCATCTATGTCGCGGATGGGCTAGCTGCGCTTTAAAAGACGTATAATCGAACACAAGTTTTGTGCATCAAGCCCGCTTTCCAAACACTAGACATATTGGAAATTCCAAAACACACACTCCATGGGTAGAGAGTGAGTCAGTACAGTGATGCGATATCGCCTCACTCTACACAGACAAAAATGCAATCACCCATAAACATGTCCACAATTTTGCACAACGTTATCCTAACACTTTTTCGGTCAATATCCAAAACTTTTCCAAAACTCAGTAAGTACTACCCATGTGATGGAGCGCCGTTGCTAATCCGAAACAGATCCGTTCATCATGCATGTCCCTGTCCCACCTGGTGCTCTCCCTGCTGCTTACCGCAAGTTGTGCATGAGGGCCGTAAGGGCTATGGCTCGGGGCAAGTTCGATAACTTTGCCTTTGAGTCGTTGAGTTCCAAGAAGTGCCAGTATTGCATGAGGAGACGGACCAAGACGCCCCCGAACACACCTTGCGCCTAAAAGCAAGAGAAGGAAAATACCATGCCATTTTGAGTCATGAGTACGACTTTCTCGAATATGAAATATATCGTACCATATCATCTTATCATCTAT